CACAATCACCCTAGTCTAGGCAAGTATTTGCCCCTTTCATGGAGAAGGAAGTTGGTCTTCAGAAAGGTTACATGCTTTGCTCAAGAACATTGGAAAATGGCAAAAATAAGACTAAAATCCCCTCTTCTAGCGTTCCTTCATCTACATCTCTACATCAGCTTTTGTGCAGATTGCTCAAGCACCCAATTCCCAAGGGAGAGCCAACTTTGCTAAATCAACTACTGATCTGTAAGGTTGTGGTGAAATTATAGTTCTCTCAAATTTTATTATGACACCAGAATGATCTCTCAAATCCTTTATTCCCCTAGGACAGTTTAGTAATTACACAGACCATCATTTTAACCCTGGTTCTATTGAAACAGTCTCCAGTTACCTCATTCATTTTCTTCCACTTTGCCTTTCTCCCTCTGCTCTTCATCTCCTCCCTCCTCGTTTCATTCTGTTAAGTGGCTCAATTTCAGTGTTTTTCATGTCTTTCTCTGTATTATATTATTTTCTTCTAAGCATATACTCACCTGCCCTTAGACAGTTGGATATATATCGATAGACTGGGGGGTGGAGTGGGGTGGGGGAGAAAGAAAATGTCCGATGTTTCTGTAGCGTTGGGACTCGGCAAGAGGTCACACTGCCACCAGGTTGTCAGCCTTAGAAAGGGAGAGCTTATTTGTTTATCTTGCATCTTTCATAGAAAGAAACAATAGCCTCTCTTGGCTTGGGGCTCTTGGCGCCGCCCAGTGGAGACAAGCGCCTTTGCACCTCATTCAGGTCAGTTGGCATTATCTTGTGGGCCCTTAGAAACATTCAAATAAAATGACAGGAAGAAACATCAGTTCCAAGTTCCCCATAATCTATAGCTGCAACTCTTCAAAGTTCTGTTTGTTTTTGTTTTTGTTTTTTAAAAACCTGACGCTCCAGTTTAAACATTACTCCAAATCTCAGTTATAAATGCTAGCCTCTGAGAGAGTGTACTGAGGAATGAAACGTTAAAATACTTGAGCGTTTGGAACTTTCTCTGGGGTGGGGAGGGAGCATCATTAGTGATCAGGACTGGTGTCTTTCAAAGCCAGAGAGGAAAGGTTGTTCTCTATTACCCACAGTTGACAAATAACTGCTTTTTATGCAAAGTATTAGAAAATATTCCAAAAATTAAATCATTTTCTTCTTCCTTTGTCTTCTTTTAAAGGAAATGAAGGCATAAGAGTGGAAGATCATTTTCAAATCTATGCCAGTTTAGGAATTATATTTGTTTGTATTTTAAATCCAGTGGGGGGAAATTTCAGATTAAATCCAGTTAATGCATTTCTTTTCCTATTTCAATTATGTTGAAAATGTAATTCACCTGCACTGTTTTATTTTTTATTTTTTAAAATGAAAAGTTAAGTCATGTGCTCTGCTAGAAAGGACATGATTTCTTGGGTGTATATACAAGGTGATGCAAAAGTAAGTTTACAATTGTTCGTATGGAAAAGAGTACAATAATAAATAATAATACCAGAATAAACTTTGTTTCATGTACTCATGACTGTATACCTACTTTTGCTCTAAGAAAGCAAAAGAGGAATGTTTCTAGAGAAAAAAAGAACTGTGAAAAGTTAAGAATCAAAACTCAACGCTGGAAGAATTTTTTTTTTTCCATAAAGTTTTCAAGCTAGTCTTTGAGTCCCTCTTTGGGATCCTCAGGCCACTAGTAGCATTTCCTCTCTGGTAGGGACCCTAAGAAGAGAGCCTTTATAAAGTGAAGGTCTTAGTTTCCCCTTACAATTGTTACTCTGGAAAGCTGACCTAATATCCCACCTAAAGAAAACTTCTAGGATCTTAACCTTTTCTTAAGAAAATAGGGTCTGAGCCATTCACAAGGTGGGCTTCTGTTTTGTTTGCTTTGGAGTTTCCATAAAATGCACCCCCCCTCCCCTAACACTTTCATCTCCTTCTCTCACTTTATTTTTAGATTTCATTTTTTTTGCAGGGTCATATCTCTGCCTCTCCCACTAATGTACATTATTCCAAGCAAAAAATCCTGTCCAACAGCCCAACACAACTGTGTGCTCAGCCTTTTGAGCTCCTGAGTCATTTCAAACATCGGAACAAAACAAAAACAGGCTTAAATGAATTATTTATCAAGGTCAAGAATAACTGATTTGTGCAGTGCCATCAGTTCTGGATCTTAAATTTGTTTTTCCTCCTCCCTACTTCCCACCCAGAATAGCCTGGGAGGAAGGTGTAGGCTGCAGTCTCATTTGCAAAGTTAGTGGGTGATGTCTGAATGAGAAGAGCCCTAATTGATTGATTATTTGAAGGGAAGAATGTGTATCTGTAGACCTGTAGTTCCGACAGGACAGGCCCTGCGCCTTCCCACAGAAGCCGAGTGTGCCCCTAAGCCCGCTCCAGGCATTATCCCGGCCTCCGTGGCTCCTGGACCAGAGGGCCTCTTCCCCAGCCGGCCAGCCGGCCGGCCGCAGGGCCTCCCGCCTCTGCCCGCAGCTCGCCCCACATCCCTGCCATGGCTCACCAACCCCGACTCCTCAGCCAGAGTCCCCTGGCCTTCCGAGAACAAAAACAAGAAGGGCCCGGAATGCACATCTCCTTGCCTCAGCCTCTCTCCCCGCTGCTCTCCTCAGAGACAGACCCTGAAAAAGACGCATGAAGAAGATAAAAAACAGGTCAACACACCCTTGAAGCAGCGCGGGCCTTTTCTGGGTCAAACACACGTAATTCTCTGGGAAAACACAGGGAGGATGAGTCTCCCAGTCCCCCTTCCTGATCAGGGCTCACTCGGATCCACTTCCACAGAAAGGCGGCCCTCTGGCCCCACGAGGTCATTTGCCTCCCCATCCCCATCCCTGGTCCCCAATGGAAGGAAGGAAGGAAGGGAGGGGGGAGGAGGGAGGGAGGGAGGGAGGAAGGAAGGGAGGGAGGGGGAGAGAGAGAGAGGGAGGGGGAGAGGAGAGGGGAGAGAGAGAGGAGAGAGAGAGAGAGAAGAAGAGAGAGAGAGAGAAGAGAGAGAGAGAAGAGAAGAAGAAGAAGAAAGAAGGAAGAGAGAAGAAAGAAGAAGAAGAAGAGAAAGAGAGAAAGAAAGAGAGAAGAAAGCGAAAGAAGAAAGAGAGAAGTAAAAGACGGAAGCCTGATAACGATCCAGCCCGATAGCACAAAAAAAGAAAGAACATAGAAGAAACAAACCAAACAGAAAGCCTCCCGGAAAGCTGTTTTCCAGGAAGTGACCTTCGGGGCCACAAAGAACCCCAGATTTGGGCCCAGCCCTTGAAGACTTTAAAGGCCATTTCATAGCATCATTCTGCACCTAGTCACGGAAGAAATGCCAGCCACTCAGATTCATAGGGTTCTTAAAATGGTAATTTGAAGTAAAATGTAACTCAAAGAACTTTGAATCATTCATTAGCACCTTATAATTACTCTGCTAATTAGGTTGACACGGTACTTAATCAGGAGTAATATGCCGTCTTGTCACTGGCACTTCCCATTACCCTGACATTCAACAAGAGACAGGTTGGAGACGTCCTAGAGAAAATAATGCAAGTTGATTCCCTCTGACGAGGCGTCACAGTCAAGCCGGCTCAGGTCCCCTAGTGGATCCACAGTGACTCTTTCCTTTCCAAACCGGGGGAGGGGGAGAGAAGAAGGGAGGGAGGGAGGGAGAAAGAGAGAAGAGAGGAGAGAGGAGAGGAGAGGAGAGAGAGAGAGAGAGAGAGAGAGAGAGAGAGAGAGAGAGAGAGAGAGAGAGAGAGAGAGAGAGAGAGAGAGAGAGAGAGAGATGAGATGAGATATTGGCTGAAACTGGCTGCGGACCTACCACCCAAGTTTCTGAAACCTATGCCCGGCAGACACCGCAGTGACCCCCATGCCCTCGCCTGCACAGAGCGCCTGGGACTGTACTCCCGGCTCCGGAGAAGGTGTCCGGCCGGCGGTTCTTCCATCACGGGCCCTGGCTGGTGACTAGACTGGGCCCTCCCCAACTCCTCCGGAGAGTGCCGCGGGCACGCGGCCCGGTCTCCACGCCCGGCTGCAGAGCGGGGCCAGAGCCCGGGCGTCGGGGCTGCGGGGTGCGGGCTGTGGGGTGCGGGCCGTGGAGTGCGGAGGGCAGAGGGAGAAATCAGAGCTCGGAACTCCCCGCCTACCCCGGCTCTGGCTGCTGGTCTGCACCCTTCCCTGCGGGCTCCTCCAGGGACCCCCTTCCTCGCTCAGTGGCCTCCGACCATTCAAACGCGTGTGTGTGGCCGCTGCGCGGGCGGCCGCGCTGGAGTCTAACGGTGAGCCGGCCAGATTGCGTTTCCCTTCCCTTCCCTTCTCTCCCTTCCCTCTTCGATCTCTTCAGGAAACGAGCAAATCCCTATTACTCTGCCTCTCTTTCACCCCCGCGGTCCCCTTCCCCAGGCTCCCCCTGCTCCCTCCGCCCTCTCTGCCCTCCCGCAGGATCGGGACGCGGGGACCGGGAGGACCGGGCGCTGGGCTGGGGGCTGCGGGCGCGGGGCTCGGGGCTTCTCAAAAGAGCAGCGGGGCCGAGCCGCGCTCGCAGACGGGCTCGCGAGCCGCGCGGCCATTGGCTCCCGGCACGTCGGCGTCGCCCGCCCGCGCGGCGCTGCCAATGGGGGCGCGGGGCCCCGCGCGGCGCGGGGAGCCGGGGTGGCCGTGACGTCACGGGGGGGGGGTCGGCGCCGCCCGCGGCAGCGGATTACAGGCGGGCGCGCCGGGCCGCGGCCGGAGTCGCCCAGCATCGCGCCTCCGCCGCCTTCTGCTCCGGCTCCTTCTTCCCCTCCTCCCCCTCCTCCTCCTCCTGCTCCTCCTCCTCTAGTGGCCGCGACCTCAGCTGCGGTGTCTACTCCGCAACTTTACCAGAAAGTTCAGAAACTCCGCTCCGGAGCGCAGCGCCGCACGCGGCAGCCACCCGGGGCGCCGCGGGGGAGATCGGGGGCTCCGCGGCCGCTGCACCTGCCGCGTCCGCCGCCGCCGCTGCCGCCTGGTGCCCGGCGGGGCGCACACCCGGGCGGCAGCGGCAGCGCAGCGGCTTCGGGGTCCCGCCCTGCCGCCCGCGCCCTCGCGCGGGTCCCCGGCGCCGCCGCCGCCGCCGCCGCCCCCCATGCGCGAGCTCCAGGCTCCCGCAACACATTTTGCAACTGTTTTCCTTTCTCCCACCCCTCCTTTTTGCATAAGGGGAAAAAAGTTGTGTCGAAACTGGTCCACCGATTGCCACCTCCCAATTATCCTTTCTCCCCTCCCCACTTTTTTTTTTTTTTTTTTTTTTCCCTAAGAGGCGACAACATTGTTTAGTGTTTATTTTGTTTGGCGATCGATAGCTTCCTTCGCTTTGTCGGGGCGGCTGCTGAGCGGCGGAGCGGCGCGGACCTCATGTAGACATGACAACAATGGAAGGGGCCAGCGGGTCGAGCTTTGGGATAGACACGATCCTGTCCGGTGCCGGCTCGGGCAGCCCGGGCATGATGAACGGAGATTTCCGCCCGCTCGGCGGCGAGGCGGCGAGGACCGCGGATTTTAGGAGCCAGGCCACTCCGTCGCCCTGTTCCGAGATCGACACCGTGGGAACGGCGCCTTCCTCTCCCATCTCGGTCACCATGGAGCCCCCGGAGCCGCATCTGGTGGCGGACGGGCCCCCTCACCACCACCACCTGCACCACGGCCAGCCGCCGCCGCCGCCCGCCGCGGCCCCCGCGCCGAGTTTGCAGCCTTCGCCGCCGCAGCCGCCGCAGCCGCCCGCGCAGCAGCTGGGCTCGGCCGCCTCCGCCCCCCGGACCGCCACCTCTTCCTTTCTAATCAAGGACATCCTGGGCGACAGCAAGCCCCTGGCGGCGTGCGCGCCCTACAGCACCAGCGTCCCCTCGCCCCACCACACCCCGAAGCCGGAGGGCCCCGCCGCGCACGAGAGCTTCAGGCCGAAGCTGGAGCAGGAGGACAGCAAAACCAAGCTGGACAAGCGGGAGGATTCCCAGAGCGACATCAAATGCCACGGTGAGTCGCGCGGCCTCGCTCGTCCAGCTCCTCCTGCGGGCTCCCCCGTCTCCCCAGCGGGCTCCCCGCAGATTTCTCCGATGGGGAGCTATTCGGGCACCTTCGCTGGCGAGGTCGCCGCCGCCACAGTCCGAACGCGCGCAAGCGGGAGGGAGGATTCGGGCAGGGCCGAAGTTCTGTTTATTGTTCCATCTCTACCTCTCGACCCACACCGACATCCACCTTCTTTCGTGGTTTTACTTAATTTTAATATATCAGGAAGGGTGATCGATCTTATGGGAAGGGCTTGAGCGTTGTTTTTTTTTTTTTTCCCCAGCCAGAGACCTTGTGAGTGGGAATAGGGAGACTGGGAGAGAGAAACCCGCTTAGCTAGTTTGGTGTCTTGGGGTGTGATCACAACGTGATACTTACTACTTAATGAAAATTATTTCATCCCCTCCTCCCCCGTACACATCATGTTTTCTAAACACCATCACAGGAATTATCAGACTTAATAAAGGAAGAATTTCCGAGCTGATTAACAGAGCAACTTAAAAAAAAAATTAGATCGTGGTTTACATAGGGTCGTTCACAAGGTAAAATGTTAGAATCAGTTTTTCAGTGTTTTCAAAACCTCCTTCTTACCCGATGCCCTCAAATGAATAGCTGCATTTTAGTAAGATTTCTGGCTCTTGGTTAGTAATTGGGGGGGGGGGGTAGAATTTATAAAAGTGAAATTTATGGAATTGAATTTATCTAGTTTTGTAAAATCAGAAGATGGAAAAGGAAATTGTCTTTCAGCTCCCTTTTTCATACAATTTTATAAGTGTTCTGGTCTTTATGGCAAAAGACTTTTAACATAAAAGGAAAGTTTTGTTTCCTTTATTAAGTTGTTTATTATCATTACTACTACTACTACTACTACAATTATTAATCTTTGCCATCTCTGGGAAAGATGTGTGCTGACTGTCTGGGAGATGGGATGTTGGCTCCTCATTTTACTATTACAGCATTAGCATAATAGTGCCCCAAACAGATGTACAGTCTGGTCCTGCGATTTTTGCGTGCACCAACCTCCCCAGTGGGGCAATTAGAGAGATTATTGTTCTTCCTGCAAGGAAGATCAAGGAGCACAGCAAAACCGGGCACAAGCAGAGAGGGATTGACATATCGATTTCCCAGCATTTCAGGGAAAAACCAAAGTTGACAAATGGAATCCGGAAATCTCTGGGCTGTCACCGGAATGGGCTCAGTGGTTTTGAGCTCAGCTCGGGGTCTGGGCGACACATTCTTTCTGAAGCTTTAAAAGACCTGATGCAAGCGGCTGCGGAGAGTTTGGGTCCAGCGTTTCCCAAGTGCACAGGAAAAATGAAAACAAATGCCTGTGACTTTGAGTAAACAGAAAAAATGAGATGAAAAAGGTGCCCCCTCCTCAAAACACACACACACACACACACACACACACACACATACACACAGCATCAAGATCTTTTGTAAACCGTCAAATCAGTCAAAAATAATCTTAGTGAAAGATAATAAAGGAAAGGGACGAGATCTTCCCTCCCTACCTCCAGCAAGGAAACAATAACAAAAGGACCCCTTTATTGTAAAGTTTTTTTTTTCTTTCCTTTTAAATTTCAAAGGTGGGGAGATCAGATAACCTTTTACAACGCTTTTGGAAACCCTGCATAAGGCTCCACACTCCTTATCCAGAAGCTGGTCCTCTTTTCCCCATTACTGGCTGAGGCCCAAGTATTCGTGTAAGAAGAGTGGCAGAGAATGGTCCCCGGAGACCAGCGACTGGCTTGGGAACGTGGCAGTGTGTGCCAGAGGAACACGCCACCCTTCCCCAGCCCAGGTTACTTTACTAAACTGTGTCTGGGTTTCTACCGTAGGAACAAAGGAGGAAGGAGACCGGGAGATCACGAGTAGCCGGGAGAGTCCCCCTGTGAGAGCCAAAAAGCCTCGCAAAGCCAGGACAGCTTTCTCCGACCACCAGCTCAATCAGCTGGAGCGTAGCTTTGAGCGGCAGAAGTACCTGAGCGTGCAGGACCGCATGGACCTGGCGGCTTCGCTCAACCTCACGGACACCCAGGTCAAGACCTGGTACCAGAACCGCAGGTAAGGGGGGCTGCCTGGGGGAGCAAAGCGGCTGGTCCTCCAGGTTGTGACCAGAGCACCCATCTTTCCTCCTGGCCTTGGGAGAAAAGAAGGGACGGAGAGGGCTTGGGGGAGTCCCTTGGGGGCTTTCCAGCAGGGGCAGGGATTAGCCACTCCCCCAAGGAAAGAGCTATTGGGGAGCAGCTGGAGTTTAGAGAGTTTTGCGCTGCTAAGTGTCTTGACATGTGCTACTTTCACTCTCACATCTGAGTGGTTGGAATTTCCCCTTCTTTGTCCCCAAGTCAATGAGGCCCCACCTTCTCAAACTGAGACATCCGGGGCCCGCTGACACTCAGGCCCGGAGAGCATGCGAGGTGCACCCTTTGGGCCTGCCCCAGGCTGGTTCTGAACGTCCTCGCTATTTCAGTCTCGGAAGAACTGCCCCTCTCGCCTCAGCTTCGATGTCCTTGCCTTGGCCTGTGAGGCAGCCAGGAGACGTGAGGTGGGCAGCAGCAGGCAGGAGAATGGGGCAGCTGGCCAAGCATCCAGCCCAAGTCTCTGTCCCCTGTACCGGCGCCTCAGAGCTCACCTGGAACCTTGCGAGGAAATTGGGAAAGGGGCTGGCAGAGCTTGCAGGCCCCGAACTGCAGAGGGAACCCAGGCAACCCGAGGCCGAGGTTCTAGTGTGTTTCCAAGCCCTGCAGTTGTCTCCCTTGTCTCGATTTTCCTTTTCTTTTCCCCCTCCTTCAATCTCGTCTGTGTTTTAATCGTCCACAAGTGTGGTTGGAGTTGCCCATCCAGTTGTCATCTTTACCATAATTTTCTGTCTCATTACATACGGTTTCAGCCACCCCAATTCTGTCGGAAAACATTAGTGTCATTGGTAGCCAATTTAAAATGGGCGGCATGTTTATTAATTTGGCTGGAGCCGCTGGCTATGGACGGCCCACCAGCACCGAGTTCCTTCTTGTGGCATTTGAGCAAAAGGCCTGCTCTCTCCTTCTTCTTTCTTAATCGAGGTGCAGCGGGGGAGGGAGGAGGAGAAGGAGAGACGCGGATCACAGGTTTTAGTTGTTACTCTCTCTCTGAGGAGACAATATCTGGAAAAGCATTTTCCCCTCCCTGAATGGCCTGGAGGTACTGACCCCTGGGGAGAGCCCTCCCTCTAACGAATTCCGTTCCTTCCTAAACCCGGTCGGTCGCCGCCTTCCCCACCCCAAGTCCCCTGCCTGCCCGGAAGGTCCTGTCAGGTTGATGAGAGAGACGTGTCTCCACACTCCCCGGGGACCCAAAAGGGCCGGGGTCCACGGCTCAGGGGTCTCTGCGTCCCTTTGTTTACCTCGGCCAGGAGAAAGGGGGGCGGGGCGGAGAGCGGGCCCTCCGGGGTTGTTGGGGAGCCTCTGGCTGGGAAAGGGAATTAGGATTAGGAGGGAGAAGGCCGCCCACAGAAACAGTGGTCTTCGCTGGCCGCCAAGAAAGTTTCAGGAGGCACCCAGACTGCGAGGGGTAGGGTGGGGGCAGCGGGAGGGCCAAGGGCCAGGGAAAGGCAGCAGAGCTTGGAGGGTTTCTTTTGCGAATGCCATGCCGAAGACACTGACGGTGCAGATGAAGAAACTGACTTGGATGCTGATCCCTTCGCGAGAAGAAGGTGGTGTGTGTGTGTGTGTGTGTGTGTGTGTGTGTGTGTGTGTGTGTGTTGGGGGGAAGTGTTAGGAGGTGCGGTCCATTCTGGGCTTCCTTGGCCTCCTGTCCGGAGCAGAAGGCGGGAGAGGGCCTGGAGAGGCTCCGGTGCCCGGGGTGCGTGCACGTCCGCTTTCTTGCAGGACCAAGTGGAAGCGGCAGACGGCGGTGGGCCTGGAGCTGCTGGCCGAGGCGGGCAACTACTCGGCGCTGCAGCGGATGTTCCCGTCGCCCTACTTCTACCACCCGAGCCTGCTGGGCGGCGTGGACAGCAGCGCGGCCGCCGCGGCCGCCGCCGCCATGTACAGCAGCATGTACCGGACTCCGCCCGCGCCGCACCCGCAGCTGCAGCGGCCGCTGGTGCCCCGCGTGCTCATCCACGGCCTGGGCCCCGGCGGCCAGCCGGCCCTCAACCCGCTGTCCAACTCCATGCCGGGCACCCCGCACCCCCGGTGAGGACGGGGAACCACGGAGGCGGCGCTGCGGGCCCTCCACCCTCTCCTCCCCTGCTCGGAAGGCTGCGCTGCCTGCCCCCGCACCGGCCCGGGCCTCCCTCCAGCCGCCCCCGGGGAGCCCGGCCAGAGAGGAGGACGCTCCGCCATGGGCGGGGCCCCCAGGAGCCAGCCCCCCGCGCCCCTCTCCCCACCCCCAGGGACGGGGCTGGGAAGCTCCCACTGCAGCGTGACCGGCGAAAACGCTGACCCCACACAAAGTTCGACCAGTAAGTGAAAATATCAACAAAAAAAAGAAACCTCAAGTTCTTTTTAAAAAATGACTTTAGGGATCAGGGGGAGGGCAGGGGAGGGGCAAGGAGAGAAGCGAGAAGGGCGCGGACAGAGGACTGCACGGGCAGAGAGTAGACTGCCGACGGACAGACGGACAGAGGGCCCGAGGCGGAGGGCGTCGCCGCGGACACCCCCCGTCCGCCTCAGAGAAAAAAGGAGGAGAACTGAGAACTTTGCACTGATTTCTCATGACCCTTTTTTCTTTTGGAAAAGTGGCATGCTCCATAATATGGAAAAAAAATGTACATGGGAAAGACTGAGTGATAAGTGATATATCATATTTATTATATGTTGTCCAAAAAAAAAAAAGAGTCACTTCTATACGTTAGTAAAATATGATTTTCCTTTTCATGTCTTTTTTTTGATTCGGTAAAATAAATGCTTAGACCAGAATATAGATTTTTTTGTGATTGAAAAATTACAAAAAATAAAGTTTATCTTTTTTTAACAAGTGATGAAATCCAAGGGAGCTGATTTTACTACAGCAGCGTGTATTCTGATGAAGCGTCAGGTTTTATTTAGGAAAAAAAAGAATCCTTCCCAGAATATTGAGAATCTGTAAAATCTGTAAAATCTGTTGACGTGTATATAAAAACAGCTCGGTGTCTCATGCCGGCCTTTCTTTTTAAAGTGGCCGATTTCAGCGCAGCCACCGGGGCCAATCGGTGACGGCAGGCTGCTGGCGGCTGCTAAGCGAGCGGCCAACCTTCCCAGCCCACGGCCTGCCCGGACCCCCCTGAGCCGGCCGCCCGCCCCGCCTCCTCCTCCCCGGGCTCCTCCCGGGCCGCCGGCCGGGCGCTGGGCGGGCGCGCTCCGCGGGCCTCGCAGCTGTCGCGAAGCCTGCGGCCCGGCCGGCGCAGCGGGACAGCCTGCGAGCGGGAGCGGCTGGCCGCACAATTAGGACGCCCGGGGGACGCGGAGAGGCCGGGCTAACAACTCTGGAGGCGGCTTTGATCCTGGCCTTCTCCTTCCCGACGGGCATCCAGCCCCCTGCCCGCGCCCAGGCTAGGGGCCCTAGTGAGTTTGCTGGGCTGGGAAGCCTGGAGAGGGAATGCAAACTCCGGTGGGACCAGCGCGCCAGGCTTTTGTCAGAGCCTCTGGATGAGGTGGAACCTCAGGATGACAGGACCTGCCCAGAGGGCGGAGGAGTGTGTGTGAATGTATAGTAATCGCCCTCCCCCCAGCACTCAGCTCTGTAAGAGGGGAAAACTGAATTGGGGGGGCGAGGGGCGGTGCAGTTCTGGGGCTGCTTCCATCTCCAGCCCCTAGATACTTTCTGAGGAGCCAGAGAGGAGGATCTCGCATCAGATCTCTGTCCTCACGCCTGTCCTATTGCGGTGTCAAAGGGGGAAAGACACACAGCTGAAACAGCCACACCTGTCCCCCAACTTTCTTGGCTGTTTGAACCTTAGTAGAGTTAAAAAATAACATTTTAAGAAATGTGGTGTTTCGTGGGAATGTGTGTTGGGGAGGAGTGGGAGAGAAGGGAAGAAGTGAAATCCAGGAAGAAACTGCCTCGGGCCCCCAGATCAGACCTTTGCTAATTAGGGACAGGCTTGCAGATTTCTCTCCAGCTCATCAATTTGTTTTAAAAAATGGTCTTGGTCTTGTTGGATTCTAACAAAAGGGCCTGGACTGCCCCTTTTCCTTTCTTCCCGCTGAGCTGGGGGGACGCAGGCAGCTGGCCTGGGCTGGAAGCTGGGTGCCGCTGCGGCTATCGGGAATGCCAGCGCCTGGGCACTCAGCAGATGCTCCTTGCGCCATCTTAGCGGCTGCTGAGTTTTACAGTCCAGTTTGAGTAATTACAAAATGATCTGCCTGGGCCTAAAGGACACTTCCCAGGCTGGGGGGCTAGCTAACATAGCTTCTGTCTGCACTGGCCCTGGCAGCTTGTCAGCGTTGGCACAAGGGGGACCTGGAGTTCACACATCCCAAGTTCCCCACCAAGAGTGACTTCAGGTCCAGGTGGGAAAAACACACAAAACCCCCTACAGATACAAACAAAGCTGTAGCACCCATCTGCTGCCAGCAGCTCACCAGCCATTTTGCTGAGGAGCCTGCCACTGCCCCTTCACTCTCAAGGCTGAATTTGGGCTCCACAGCTGGACAAAGCATGATGTCTCCAGAAACTAAGGTTTCTTAATTAACCTCATATGCCACAGCTGCTAGCAGCCACTCTCTGTCCATGACAGTCCTCCCAAATTTGCTTTTCTTCAAAGTCACATATCCCCACCATGCCGCTGGAAGTGTCAGTTCTTCTTCTAAGTTTGATTATTTCCTATTGCATCCAAGTTAGGCAAATTGGATGATGGAGGTGGGGTTGTCTCGGGAAGAAAGCTGAGTCCCAGATTCCTTTATTTTTTTTCATTCTTTTCTTTCCATAGCAGTATTACAAAGGTGACTCTCAGCAGGTGACCCTCACTTCAAATGTCCCCAAACCATTGCTTACAAGTCAGACTCAAACCCAGCCTGTTCCTGTGGAAGAGGCCCCTCAGTCCTTCCTTGCAGGCCCAACCGAGTGGGGGAGGGGTTGGCTAGGAGGGGGTGAGTGCACCCCCAGACTTTGTGAAACGCAAGGAACCAGGTAACAGGCGAAGGCCTCTTCTCAGGGGCATGCTGGAGTTAGTTGTGAGGGCTCAGAGGAAAGCTGTCCCTGGGCGCTGGCTCCTTGTCTTTTCCCACCTTCAGCGGGTGTCTGAAGGGCACTCCACAGCTAGCCTCCATTTGGCTTGCTCCTTTGACTAAGTTGGGGATTGGCAAAAAACGGTCTTTCTGTGGCAATCTTTGCTTGCTACGGAAACGCAGGAGCGCAAACTTCTTTCAGAGAGATGTTTAAACACCTGCAAAGGCCCCTCCAATTTGCTTTGGGACCCCAGCAAACCAAGCATAAATCCGTAGTGCTCACGTGTGAAATAAGTCAACTCCCCAGCTACCTGCTCCTCATAGCTCAAGCCAGCCATTTGCAATGAATAGCAAAGTAATGATTGCTGTTTGCCTCCACGCCTCCAGCAAATATACCTACCACCCTGTGTCAGTTTATTTTTGCTCCACCCCTTAAAAACGAACGCTCACAGGATGGCAAATTAGACAGCCGATTCCCTCTGTTGCAAATAAAACCGCTTACCCTCACACCAAGACTCCCCTCCTCCCCCCTCCTGCCCTCTGACTCCTGCTTAGGCAGCCCTTCCCCAGAAGTCTGCGGGCTCCCACCTCCCCTCTTTAACCAGGCAGCTTGTGAGTAGCTTGCTTTTGCTGTATTTCTAACTTTCTAAAAATATTTGGAAAAGCTCTCCCCAGGGCTAGGGAAACTTTAGCTCCCCGTTAAGCCACGTGGTTACAAAAAAAATACACTGGAAGAGAGCTGCTCGGTTTTCTAAAAAGCCAGGCACGGTGTGAAGCCCACATCCTTGGAAAGAGACTGACTTTATGCCGCTGGGGAGCGTGGGAGCAGGACTGAGCCCCGGAAAGAACTGCTGCTCCCTCCAGAGCTGGGGGTCCTTGGTGCGGGAAAGCTGGCGTGTCCAGTGCCTGTGTGGGAGGAAGAGTGGGTGTGGGCTTTTCCAGGGTTTACCCCGTGGATCCTGGAAAAATGCCTCCAGGTCTTTATCCAGTTCCACTTCCTTAGCCACTTCCAGCCATTCTCTCTCCCCTCCCCTCCTGCCCTCCTTCCCCTGGAGTTGGGGCGCACGGCCAGGGTCAGTGCCCCTCCTTTCTTATTTCTGGCAGGCTGAGCACCCCCAGGGCTGAGTAGGGGTGCGTGTGTGGGGTTGGGATATGTCCCTGGCTTCTTGCATTGGAAAAAACAGGCCAGCTGTCTCGGAGCGGTGAGATGACTCAGAAGGGACTTCCCCCCCCCCCCCCTCCTTACGGCTGAATTTTGAAGGTGGCTGTCAGTCTGAGCGCTGCTGGGTGGACCCTCTCTGCCAACCTGGCATTCTCATTTTCTCTCCTCTCTGCCTTTCCGGGAATCCTCCCACTTTCCCCCGCTGGGCTGTTCTCTCCTAGCACCACAGACAGCTCCCGGGGCGCGCGGCGGAGCCACAGGCCCTGGGCGGGCGGGTTCCCAACTGAAGCGAAGGCGACCGCAGGGGGCGCGCCGGGTTCGGTCCGCGGTGCCCACGGCGGGCCGTCCGCGGAGTGACTGCAGAGCGACCTCCCTGGCAGCGCTTCCTGATGAGCCCTAAGTCCAAACAGGGGAACACCCCAAAGAACAAAACCTTCAGATCAACAAACCAGTTCACAAACCCAAAGATCTCGGGGTGAGCAGTGCTCAGTGACAAGACCAACGCCAAACCGTCCCTATTGAATAAGTTCTTGGTGGAAGCCCACTGGGGCGGAGCGGGGACTCAGGTCCGCGGCTTGGAAGCCCTCGCGCCGCGCCCGGCGAGGCCGCCAGCGGGATGGAACCCCCTCTGGGAAGGGCCCTGCTCCCGTCCTCCGCCCGCAGCCTCCGCTTAGGGGAGCCCCGGAGAAGCGGGTTGAGCCGAGTGCGGGATGAGCGGAGGCCCCGATCGCCGCCGCAGCTCCCAGCCCGCATCCGCTCCCCGCGGGGATGGGTGTGGGACTCCCCTGTGGGAGTTCCCCGGGGAGAAGAGAACCCGCGCGAGCAGCGAGAGAGGAAACCTGGTTTAGGATGAAAGGGCTTTGTCACTTGGAGGAGCTGATTCACTCCCGCGCCCGCCCCCTCCCGTCTCAGGCGGCGGGACCAGATTCTTTGGTGAAGAGGCCCTTGGCTTAGCGGTCCGCCCTCCCCCGCCCAATGGACCGCGGGCAGCGGT